TCAGAATTTTCCACAGTTTATTGTGATCCACACAGTCAAAGGCTTTGGCATAGTCAATAAAGCAGAAATAGATGTTTTTCTGGAACTCTCTTGCTTTTTCGATGATCCAGCAGATGTTGGCAATTTGATCTCTGGTTCCTCTGCCTTTTCTAAGTCCAACTTGAACATCTGGAAGTTCATGGTTCACATACTGTTGAAGCCTGGCTTGGAGAATTTTGAGCATTACTTTACTAGCCTATGAGATGATTGCAATTGTGTGGTAGTTTGAGCATTCTTTGGGATTGCCTTTCTTAGGGACTGGAATGAAAACTGACCTTTTCCAGTCCTGTGGCCACTGCTGAGTTTTCCAAATTTGCTGGCATATTGAGTGCAGCACTTTCACAGCATCATCTTTTAGGATTTGAACACACAGATAGCACAGACAAATATATGAACTCAATTCTCAGATAATTTCTGAAAAAATTTATTCCAGTAATAATATTGACAGTTTACAATGTATTCCTCTGTGCTTGATCCACAGTAGTTCCTTAAGGAATGTCATCCACGAGGTAACACTTGCCCACACCTTTTCTCACCCGGTCATTCTAACGTCCCTAAGGTGAAGAAGAGTTCCCACTCGTATCTCTGCTCTACGTATTTGGAAATGGATGCACTGAGGGATTGAATAAGTTGCTTTTCTATGTTACATGGCCGATAAAGAGAAGAGTCTGGCACGAGCCAGTGAATCCTATTATGTATGGCAAAATTGACAGTTGCACTTCTGTACAGACAAGTAAATCGCAAATGAGTCTCACAAAGTGTACTTGATTTCTGTCTGTGCACGTTACCCTGCTTACTCCACCATTCTGAAATGACTTTGTGTTCATTAATCTTTTAATGAGCACCTATCAAGTGTGAAGTGTACAGAGGATACCAAGGTGGGCAAGGAGCTTGAAGTCTTGTTTGGAAAAAAGACAACTGAATAAAAATTGTGAACGCAGTGTAACAGCTGCTCCATTTAAAAATATTCCGTATTATCACTAATGCAGACCAGTCACATCCTGATTGCTCTTAAATTTATAAACTGTTTGCCTGTGGTGATTAGGTTCAGAAGCCCTGTAGCTCACTGTCCAGAACACGGACCCTTCTTCCATAGCTCATGACACGAAAAGCCATTCAGTGATCCCCATCTGAACATGTGCTCTGAGCCAGCTCTACCCAGAGAAGGGAAGAGAAACTTTCTGATTTAGAGGCACTTCTAATTTAGTACGCACATCCCTCTTTTTCTTAAACAAAACACCCCTTTCACTGCCATGCTTGCCCTCACCCCCTGGACTGCATTCCTATTGTCTGTAGGTGTCTCACAGGGCTCACATCTCCCAGGTTCACCCTAGATGCACCCGCATGCTTCTGGCTTTAGCTTGACCATATCAGCTGGGTCAATAGTCTTCCAAATGGCTGAAGACCCTTTAATGAAAGGAAGTGAGGCAGACAACCTAATTTAGCAGGGAGACAGACAACCTAATTTGGGAGGGCAAGGGCTCCCAGGGCTGCTTAAAGCGAGGATGTTATTTTGCTTTAGCTACTTGGAAGTCTGACATCTTGCATCTAAAATTCTCAGTTTCCACGACAGACTTCTTTTGATTTCTCCAAACTGCCTTTGAACAGTTTGGATAAGCTGGTTGTTCAAACTGTCAAACGAATGACATTTTATTAGGAAAAGCCAGGCCTCTGGCCAGTGTAGGCTGTACACAGCTCTACATATCAGCTCTTCCTTTCATGTTTACGCCTAGCTTTCCGCTGTCACATCCCATTCCAGAGCCTTTCCCCCTTTTTTCATTACACCAAAGTGGTACCATGCAATGTGCATTTATTACACGAATGAACGAAACGAGGGCAATTCCTCGTGAGCAACACTGGTAAGAAGCGCCAAGCAAAAGGTTCATTATTTTCGTGAATTCTGTGAAGGATGTCATCGAGTATCTTCAATAAATAGAGAGACGCTCCGCAGACAGCAGGAGTCCGATTGTCCGCTCATTCGTCAATGGATAGGATGAGAACAGGAGGGCGGGATATGCTTTCTCGTCTCTCCTGGGCGCCAAGCACGGCTCAGGAAAGCGCAGCTCCTCAAAGACTCTGAGGACCGATAACTTCGCCGCCCCTGAAGGAGGAGGTCCGGAGAGGATCGGCTGACCTCCGAGGGTACAGTTGCAGACATCCCGCCTGCCAAAGCGGGCAGGGGTTTCTATGTTAGCCGGGAGTGCGGAAGGCGGGGTGGTAAAAAGTCAGAGCGTCCGTGTACCCCAGCCTGCGAGTGGTCAGAAGGTCTGCTCGAGAGTCGCCACACAGTCGCTCCGGGACCAAGACCCCCTCCTCTGCCTTCGGAT